AGAATTAGGCATCTGTCTAATCGTACCGATACCAATTGTGAGTTCTTTTCCAAAACTGTCTTCCTTTCTCCAATGTGAAACTCACCAGTTTCGCAAACTAAGTTGTTTGATTTTTATTTTAAGAGAAAATTGGAATAACATAAACGACGGTAATATCAATTTATTAAGTTAGGATATCTTAGCGCATTAGGATTACGAGACTATTCGATCCTTGAGATCGTGAGATCGAAGAGCGTTTTCGCCGCAACCATTTACGTACGCGGCTATTCGCCAAGCTAACTCGCGCTCTTAATTAGCAACGAACCTACTTTGAGCTATTTTCCAAACCGTAAATCAATGATTCGTAAAGTAGCTCGAGGTCGATAACCTAGCAGCTCGCGCAGGTTTGAACGAAGAAATTCCTCTCGAGGACGCTCGATCGAGCATCACCCAATATTCGAACCGGAGGTAGTCGAGCTAGTTCTAGAATTTATGGTATTCCTTTTCCTCTTATTTTCTCACCTCTTCATTCTATTTCCGTTCTACTTCGTTTTAGTTAACACTTTTCAATCTTATTTTGTGTAAATTTTTACTGTGAAATAAATTGGTAAAATATCAAATAAATATTTAACGATATAGCGGTTAAAATATAAAAAATAAATCAGCGAAACTGTTCTCGTGTAAAGCTATCTATGAATAATAATGAAGAAATTTACGTGGCGAAAATTGTACGTGACACGGTGATTACGGAGTAGATGGTAGCAGACGGTAGATGAAGTAAAATAATTGTGAGATTTAAGAATTTAAGTGGACCAACGATTTAAAAATGAGAAGATAGTTGTGTGACACAACATCATGATGATAAACTAAATTGCATGTTTTTTGCATTCCGTCTCGCATTTCGCTCCAGAATATTATTTGTTGATATTTTATCTGAATTTATACGATAATGAACAATAAAATTATTCTTGTCGCCGATAAAATTGTTAAAATTATTGCTATAATATTTTCGTCATGACGAGTGACATTGACAATACGTTGTGACCAAACGATGTTAAAATCTTCCATACTAATATTTATTGTAATTATAATAACTCAACAATTAAATCACAGTTAAATCAGTCTGTGGAATCTATAAAGAATTATTAATGTTAGAGAAACTATAAATCGTAGAAAATATATGAAACTGATCATCGAATGCAACGAAATTACGCACAGAAAAATAAATAATTATCTAGAAATATGAGACGCATCAAATCAACGCAACTGTCTATCTTATTCATCGTAACAGTATCACCTCAAGAATTTCAAGATTGTTCTTTTTTTCTTTTATCGTCAATCGCTATTTTTGAAAAATATGAAAATAATATTTTTCGAGGATTTATTGTATGATTGCACAAATCTTTCTAAATTTGATAATTATCATTACATCAAATGAAAGATTTGCTAGCTTTGAAAAGTTATATTTATATATGCTCGTTTTGTACATATGTTGAATAGGCCCTTATTAAGTAAAAAAATGTAAATTCCGATTTTTTATAAATATATAATAAATATACATATATATTTATTAGTTTCCGACGCAATCGATTTTATGCATGTCGAGTGACTAAATTTACATTCCAGAAGGAGCCAAGCACACGGCGAATACTAAATTCTAGAACTTCCATTTAAATGTCCATCTAAATGCCATTTGAAAAATACAAACTGTTAGAAGTAAGAACATGAAAACGCATACGCGACACCAAGTTTTATGAGCGTCCATGAACCCCAACGGAAAGCTTCGTGGGTAGGTCACGAACATCAGCGAGTACCATACAGATCGGGAACCCTAGACAAGTCGTCAGCCGTAGCGCTAAACTGAAATCGAAAAAGGGAAAGCTAAACAGACTAGCTTATCTTCTTCCTTTTGGAGACGACAAGTCGTATGTCGATATTTCTATTTATGGAAAAAATGAGCAAAAAATAATTATATAGATTAGATATTTCTCATCGATTTTGGTGACTAAAATATGTTGTCAAGGAGGTAATTTTAAGCAATTTTTCCTTATATACGTATACCACCACTCAATCTTAGTTTCGAAAAAATATTTTCATATCTTTAATGTTTGAGATTAGATTTATGTTACATTCTCGGCAAGAAAATTCCGAGGCTCTGCCCCCCTTCCACCTATAAATTTACTTCATAATAATACAATTATGAATAATAAGATTCCGCGAAACTATGATGAGATTATTTCACGAGTTTGTCCTGTATTTACCTACAGTTATATTCTGGTTTACATCGTGGTTACATTGTTTATTATGAAGCACTTTGTGTTATAATATAATTTTATATTATAAAATAAAATAAAGCTATATGAATTTTCGAATATTTGTAATAATTACAATAAATTGTGCAATTATATTTTTTTATACTGAACCTAACCCAAATTTGAAACTTAAAACTATAGTAAAAAATGTAAAAACTATTTTTGCGAATATCTTGGAAACTAAAATCGAGAGGTAGTAACATATATAGGGACAATATTGCTTAAAATGAAACATATTTATGGCAACATATTTCAAGGTCATCAAAATCGATGAAAGATCGGACGGAGAATCAGCGAGAAATCTATATATATAATTAACTAGCAGAATTTAGCCTGCTTGTAATGATAAATTGCGAGGACGAGATGGAATCAAAATATTCCCTGTAGCAAATGGTCCGAACCAACGTCATCGCTTAGCCGACCATCGACAAACCCCATGAGCCAAAGTCAATAGCTAATATTACCCGTTTAGATCGAGCTCGGACGAGCGTAGAGAATGCTTCGCGTTCAAAATGAAACTTCCCCTCGCCAACCCCTGGTCGTCTATTTCATCCTCCCTTCCTCTCTCTCTCTCTCTCTCTCTCTCTCCTTTCCTCCCATATCCCTCTCCTCTCTCTCCTTCATTTCGTCTCTCTACATCTAGTTTAGGCGAATGTTAATTTAAACGCTCGTTGCTGGTCTCCGTTTTACCTGTTCGGATTTCCCTGGTTCTCTCTTTCGTCGTCGGTAATTAGTTATAAACATTGGTGCCATTGATGCGATCAAGCCAACATTGTTTTATACATAATAGAGTTTGAACGCAAAGATGAAATGTCGATCCCATCGTTTGGTTAAACAATCATACATCGACTGTCTAAACTTATTTATTCATGCGACCGAACGTCAAATATATCGTAAATCCTTATCAATTTGCGATATTGACAAATTTCCGTTTATTATTCTAGATACTGCACGATACCCACATTCTTCGCAAGTCGTTCCAAAAAAAAACCCAAAGACACAATTTATGCGAAAAATATAACAATTCTTAATTCAACAATACGTTTCACGGTTCATATTCAGCGTTTCCTGCCTAAGTAAAAACATATAAGACAGAAATTTTGTTTTTCTAACTTTGTTTATCAGATTATTTCCTATCAGAGCGAGTATGTAATAAGTATTATAAGATGGCTCTCTCTGTTTATGAGAGCCACTTTTCTTTTGGTATGCCAAATCTCGAAAATAGGAGAAGAGGAATGATGAAGAAGACATCTCGCTGATATGAAACTACTTACAAAGGCAGTTTTAACCAATTGATGTTTCGAATCAAGTTGTCTCGTGTCTTGAACAATACATGAAGGAAGCAAGCAGGACATCTAATGCTACCGCTGTTGCAGCATCCACATGAAGCGAGTAACGCACCCCGAGGCACCTTTGATCTCGATAAAAAACCGATGAGCGATCGGTTCGTCGAGCGCCAGTATCGATGCAAAGTTGCCTCGCGAGGAAGCTTTGCACTGTCTGTACATAGCCTTAAAGTATTTCCCCCAAAGGATCGCGACAATTTATCGTATACTGTATCACGGTACTTTTTCCTTTGGTGGATTTCTTTTGGTGTTTTTGTTTCTTTGTCATTCCCATCGTGCGTACTTATTCATTTTATTATTAGTCTCTATCATCGAATAATTACATCCCTGGGTATTAATCACTGTCCCTACCGGTGTTATCGCGACAATTCATCGTATACCGTAACACGGTATTTCTTCCTTCGGCAGATTTCTTTTTGTTTCTTTGTCGTTCCCATCACGCGTACTTATTTACTCTATTAGTCTCTATCATCGAATAATTACATCCTTGGGTATTAATCACCGCCCCTACCGGTATTGTTTCTGATATAATCTCGCCGTTGAAAAATCGCATTTGAGACATGTATAACGGCATGGAGGAAACAGTGCGGCACGACATAGGAAGGTCGAAGCAGAAGCTGCTTGCACACATACACTCGCCAGTGTGATAATAGCGGAAATAGCTACTGATTCGAAATCCCTTGCACACTCGACATTAATTCTCGCTACTCGATGAGGCCCTTTTAAAAAGAAAAAACAACGACTGATCTGCGAACGGTAATGACAGAGAAGGGAATAAATAGAGAACAGCAAATGTGGTGAAAGAAAAAAGGAACAAGTATGAAAATAGCAAATACACGAAGCAACGAATGCCAATTCCTCTCGAGTGTTGAACTCTTTCTTGAGTGTTAAACATTACAACCATACCTTTCAATAATATACTTTAGTGTACAAAATGTTGAATTGTAAAATTTACAGCGATATTCTTTTGTAGAAATTATAGAAAATTGATGGATTATATAGTGAATCTCATGTAATACAATAGATTCATTTCTCGCTATATGTTTCTTAAATTATTAGTTTTCTTATTATATATGTCTATATATATATAAAGATAGATTGACAAAAAGTAAGTATAACAAAGTTCCAAAAAGAAAACAATCTCAACGAATAAATTTATGTGTAATGGAACACATTATATAAAGTTATGTAATAGTATAAAGTAATAATAACTGACAAATAATTTGCGACGACGCAACATTATTTGTTGAAAATATGGTAGCCTTAAAAAGTACCAGTTGCAACTTAACGGATTGAGAAAAATAACTTAACACATATAAATTATGAATACATCCTGATTAAATTATTGAAATTAAAATCTTACCAATTGCTAACGAATGAAGTAACTACTCGTTGAAATCTTGAATTAATATTCTCCGATGCTTCATCGTCGTCCATTGGATTAGTTTCGAAGCACCTGTTCGATCGCACTCTCTGCTGTCATATTTCATACGCAACCGTTAAATTCCTGTTGCGCCCCCTTCCGCATCATTGTCGCGCGAGAATGACTAACAATCGTAGACACAAGTGTTCAAAAAATATCTTCTGCCGATTTCTTTCTTGTATCGGAACTGGTCTTCGCCGCAGCGTCAGAGGTAATAACCGGTTCCACTGGTGTATACTCAAATTCGCGATCGTGAATTCCACGAAATTCTTCGCGTCCGAAGAAAAAAAAACGATCACAGTCTCCTCTACATGGAGGGCGGCAGTTTTAATTTATAAAAAACAACGACGCTTCGATGAAAATGTTTCGTGACACTCGCATATTATTCACTCACCATAATTACCTCTCCCTTTCTCTCAAACTTGATGCAACGCGTAACGAAAAGCACGTAGTAAAAGAACAATTTGTGATAAAATCACAACGAAATTACGGTTTGTTTACTTTCACAATGAAATACGTGCTATTCGTTCATATACGAATAAATTCGTCGTTATCAAATCGCACACTGAAAATGTCCTTCAAAAGAATGAGCAGCAGCAATCATGTTACTTCGCTTTTACTTATCTTTCACAACGAGTGAGAAGCAATCGCAACATGATTTTACGGTGTTGAGGACTACCTGGCACTATGTAGATTTTACGAATTCACGAGATTAGACAACCGCTATGGCCATCGTACCATTTTCCCTCAACTTTCAAGAAGCCAATCGAGTACCAGGCCGGTCTTCAACTCCGCTGTCAACTTCACGTCGCTGCGATCGTCACAAATCGTTTATCATGTCATCTCGTAGTGACGCGTTTTTACAAACAAGAAAACGATAGTCGATATCTGATACGTAAATTACAGTAGCGATGCGTCGTAGTGATCACTACGGTCGCGAGGCACGTTACACAGTGCCGCGTTAATCGAGATTTCGCGGGCTCCTGTTACGATGTTGGAAGAGCACGAATGCACACAAGATGCGCGCGTCCCGACGGCTGCGCGTGCACTGCCCGCGCTGTTCCCGTACCTATATTCCCTCCCCTAACCCCATCGCGCTCTCCTTGTCTTTCTCTTCGGCAGAAACGAACATATACGGGACCCCATGTTCCTTTCTCATTCTCTCTCATTGTTCTCCCCACTAACCTTCGTTGTCTCCCTTCCTCTCTATAACTCGTTCTTTTTTCTATCTCTCTTCAACTTAAACACCGCTGTACCACTATTGAGAGTCAATCCCTACTCTGGTCAGCGTAAATAACGCACGGAGAATCAGGCATACCTGAACATTGTCCTTGGATATCATAATATATATTCCTATAAACTGAAGGAGAGATTTCGTTTCTTTTGTCCCGTTTGTTATTAGCTCGAATAACAATTGTTGCACGGGTGCAACAGTACGAGGCGTTTGGAGTTTTCTACGTGATTTGCCATCACATAATCTAAATCCTAGATTGTAAATTCTTTTTTTTTATCAAAAAAACTGCTCCAGGTAACACGAACCAAAAATGTAAAATAAGAACGTATCGAATTTTAGGCAAGAAACAGTTCACAACAAGTATAATGTAATGAAATCAAACTTCTTTCACCATATGAAACGAATTGAATAAACGAATTTAATAAATTCTTATTTTCCAATAAAAAAAAATATATCTACATGCAAAAAAAAAAAAAACAATTATACGATCTTGTTATGATATATGACTTTAATATAATGTATGCTAAATGATATAATAAGAGTTATATCATAGAGACAGATAGATTGTTAAGATAAATTTAAAACAAACGAATTTTTAATCAACCGAAATGAAACGAATTCGAATCTGTTCGGAATTATATGCTTCATCAGTACGTATCATCTGCATTAATATTAATTACGTTATTTCGGGACTCCGACAGACTACCCTCGGAATCCCTCTCTTAATGTCGTCGGCTCTTTGACTCTTGGGTACCCCAACCCAGACAACTCGACACGCGTTCTTACACATATATTTCAACATAAAAGCGAATGCGTATGCGAGATTCAAGCGTCACTGACTGCGTGATACCTCTCCAAATGTGCATCTTATCACTAATTTCTGTGAAATCTAAATTAATTTTCATAATAAAATTGACGTGGCTCATCTCACCGCAGATAATATATATGTAATTATATTTTTGGCAGAAGAAGATTCGATTTGATTGTTTGTTAGTATTGATCATTTAACTAAATTTTTATTTAAATATAAAGTTATTGGTTATTTCAAAATTCAAATAAAACTGAGAAATTAATTATTTGTTATTTGACCTAAATCAATTAATTAAAATTATTATTTATAAATATAAAAATATAAAATATGAAAAATGATTATTATTTGTAATATACAAAATTATTATTTACAAATATTTATTACTTGTTATTTATTATTATGTAGAACTATATTATGTATTATTTATGTACTACATGGTAGTAGTTCCAAGGTCAATCATTTCAATTACTTTACAGAGCCGTCAAAAATAAAGGTAAAGGTTAGATGATGCTTATACGATGAATTAAATAAATTTTCAAATAGCTTATTTGAAAACATAGTTTTAGAAACAAATATGGACTATAAACTATTTATTGAAAATAAATTATCAAAAAATTATATTTATAAAGAATAACGACAGTATTTACGCAATTCTTTTATTAGATATAAAATATAATAAATAAAAGAAAATTAAAAATTATTTATTACGTCTGTTTTAGATACTACCTACTTCAAATAAGAAACAACCATTTATTTGAAAGTTAAAAATAAGAAATAAATTATTTTTGATATTATTTAAATAATTAGTTATTTAAATAAAAATTTACTTATTATGTATAATAAAAAGTACGATTCTGATTATTATTTTTTATTTAATTGAAAATTTGACCAACTTTGATCATGCAGGATAATAGATTGACGTTTAAGAAAAGCCGATGGAAATGTAGCGTAAAATCTTTTAGTCTTCGTGTAGGAGGGAAAATGTGGCTCACTATATCTCTATCGACGAAAACGTGATGTGAACGGAACTTTAAAGAGTCGACGATTCATGATATGCGTATGTATTATAAGATGCATGACCAAGTAGTACGAGAGTAGCTCGGATGTACCTAAGTATATATCGAGTATCGAACCTATCTTTAGGGGATATTATGGGCATGAGCAACAAGAATCAGCATCAAGTAGAAAGAACAAATAGATGAAAAAATAGAAAAGAAAACGATTAAGATTGAATTATGAATCGTGGATTAAACGCTAAATTCAAATCGATTCCATATATCATATAACCTGCCACGCTTCTGCTTTGTACAATCGCAACTCTTTTTCGAGCTCGCTATTGTTTCTCTCTCTCTCTCTCTCTCTCTCTCTCTCTCTCCCTCTCTCTCTCTTTCTCTCTCTTCCCCTTCTTTTCTTTCCGGGTTAAATCTGGTTGTTTAACAAGCGCACGATCAATTGTAGCTTTCTTCAACATTGTTCTACACCTACACTTCTAATTCGTCGATATCGAACAGTCATTTCTTTTCCATTTCTTCTCCTGAATCAATTTATCAATCGCACATGACACGTCAATCGCAAAATTTGAACTTTTAACGCGTTGAAGATACATTTAGCAAATGAATTAAAAATTTGTTTTTCGCAAGTAGTGAACAAATGACGCCACTTTATGTTACTCATATTTTTCTTCCCTCCCTCCCTGCCCATTAGTACCGAGTAAAAGGCATAAACAGCGAACGAGTCAGCATTATATTGCCGCCGCCACCTTTTAGCCGAGCTTACGATAATTTTCTCGTGTTTACGGTCGGTAGAATATCGCATCGTTTTTTCCCCTGGCACGAGGAAAAAACACTACATGGACTGGCGCTACGCTAGGACGTAGGATACGAAAATTGATAACGTCGCTTCTATTATACTATAATTCCCATCTACTATACGTAGCACTATACCCATTACTAAACGCGTAAATGCAGCCACCATATAAATAAGGTAGATTTTGTTAATGTTTGAAAAGGCGAATCAATTAAAATTGGCACTTGAGAATCGTGGTGCAAGAAATTAGGTTGTCAACTTACTTTTTTTACGTTTGGTGTCTTTTTATTAAACTCCTAATTCCGTCTAAATTGAATTGTAGCTATTGGGATTGGTGTTAAACATCCATTCAAATTTAGATTGAATTTCTCAAATCAAGTGAAGCTTCTATCTTGCAAAAATTATGTACCATTTCATTCTTCCTATATTCCACATAATAAACACCGCAAAAGCCATATCATGATTTCTTGGTACTTACTTTTACGCGCACGTCGCGTCGTCAAGAAGTCAAGAGGAGGCTGCGAGTTGAAACGAATACCCGTGGTATGTATTTTAGTCTGTTATTAATGACGATTTCCATTTTTTTTTTTGCAGATTTGGACGATGCGAATAGTATTGACGTGTTAGTCTGTTGAATGCGGAACGATAATTATGGATGATGGTTCACTTTGTCCCAATAAACGTCCGTTTTAAAGGATGAACGTAGAAAAGAAAAAAATCCATAGTTTGTTTTTGTCTCATAGTAATATAATAACGCGGAAGGAGAAAATGCAGCGGGACTATGCTGGTTGTGTCCATTGCATTGTTCTTCTGTATCAGGCCATCGAATTATTGAAAATACAAATGATGGGATATGGTCGTTATTTTTTGGAAAATATGTTTTCCGTGACAACGAGTTTGAAAAAAAGGATATTATTGTTTTTAAAGCGCAGGTAGCTTCAATCGTCGAAATTAAAGCGTTAGACTTCTTATTAGCATGAAGAATTGTTTGGTATATTCCGAATGTTATGATTGAAGGTAGCAGTTTGCCCACTTTCTCATGCTCGTAAGAAGTCTTAACGGCCGCCACGCTCGACTACGGTTAAAATCGTTTGTTGTTATCCCTGGTCCACCACCGCGAGCCTGTTTTGTTTAATGTCCTCTAAAAACGGTTGGCAATAATTTACTTATCGATATTTAATAATTTCACCATTCTTTGAGGAGCTACATCAGAGCAATCAAATAGCTCTAGCTTCTAGCTCTAAAATCGTTTAATGTCCGTTTTGCTAATTTCCTTGACAGTTGATATGTTTATGAAATCACATAAGCTCGATCACATAATCTAGTGTAGGTAGACGTATAAGTTAGAGTATTATGTAGGAGCAGCACAAAGCTGCCTGATGTGGATGGAAAGGGGTAAGGTTGGCACAGGTCGCTTTTGTTTGGTTGGAGTGCATGTGTTTCACTGGTAGCAGCCGTAGCGGTAGCAGCAACTAGCAACGGCAGAGAGAGAATCAGGGTGGCTAAGGTCTACATGTGTAAGTGCTTCACCGAGTCACATCGTCTACGCACTCCCTAACGCACCTCAGGCGAAAAGCACGAGGTTCAAGTGTATGTATATATACGTACACAGACGTGTTTAATAAGAATACGCGCCAGAGCAGACAGTCGGTGCGACGGTGCAGCGCTAACATTTTATTTATCAGCGCTGATGGCTTTTCCGTTCTTGCAAGGGTCGTCGTCCTTTTTTTCCTTTTTTTTCTTCTCTTTTCCTTTTTTTTTTTTTTTTTTTTT